GTGTCCAAAAGACACTTTAAAACTCAACATGTCCCAAACTGAACTCATTTGGTTTTTCCTGGCAGAGTAGCTGTGCCTTCTCCTTCATTGTCTATCTTGCTAATTAGTGCCCCTTTCCCAATTATTCCAGGTAGAAATGTCTGGACTCCTCTGCCTACATTTTTTTTTTTTTTAATCCTCACCTGAGGATATTTTTCCATTTTTTGTTCAGATAGTGTGGGAGGGAGAGAGAGGAAGGGAGAGAGAGAGAAACATCGACGTGAAGGGACACATCGAGTGGCTGCCACCCGCACGACCAACCAGGGCCGGGGACAAACTGCAACCGAAGTACATGCCCTTAGCGGGAACCGAACCCGGGTCTCTCCAGACAGCAGGCCGATGCTCTAACCGCTGAGCCAAACTGGCCAGGGCCCTCTGCCTACATTTTATCTCTAAAGTCTGCCAATTCTACCGTCTTTAACATCCTCCTTTCTTTTCTTTCATCGTCTGCTTCTGCTTAGTGTAAGTCCCTACCATATTTTCCTGACACTGCCGCAATAGTTACCACCCGTCTCATTCCCCTGTGGCTATTAGAGGGTCCTTCTTCATCTCAAATCTGATCATGTTACTCTCCTGCTTAAGGCTTCATTGGTTCCCCATTATCTTCTGCATAAAGGACAAAATCAAGGTCCATCTTCCACCACCATCTGAGCCCTTCTGACTCCATGACTTCATTTCCTGCCACTTTTCATCATACCTTCTAGGTTTAAACTATAACAAAATACTGACTTTTCCTTGAATATGCAATGTTAGTCTTATGCTTCAGAGCCTTTGAAGATTTTTCTGAATGGCCTTTCTCCTTCCTCTTAAGCCAACTGATGAATTAATGTTATGAGAGCTTTTAAAGTGGCTTCCTCTATGAAGTTTTCTCTGATCACCCTCCCTTAGTCACTTTCCCTCTACTTTTCTATGGCTTTTGTTACCTTTATTGATAATTACTGGGAGCTCCTTAAGGATGGGCCTATTTTCTATTTATCTTTATGATCCCCAGGCCTGCCATTGTTAAATAAGTGAGGGGAAAATCCAGCATAGTGGAGTAAGGAGAGAGAGGAGTCAGAATGCCCCTTTGGTCAGGCCCCTCCTCACCCTGTGGAGAGAAAACCTTTTCCACAGATAACCTCCTCACATAAATCAAGCCCCAATCTGTGGGGTGCCAGGGCTACAGCTGTTGGCCAGTCACTCCCAGAGCACACTGTCCATGATGGTGTGGGCTAGCACAAATACAGTGCTCAGTATGTACTATCTGAGTACTATTCTAAGTGCTTGCATATATTGACTCATTTTAGCCTCACAAAAACCTTTGACATGGATGCAGTATTAGCATTAGTCTCATTTTAAAGATGAGGAAACTAAAGCCCAGATCACACGTAAATGGAGAAGCTGGGATTTATAAAAAGAATGGGTTGATAAGCTGATATTTGTTGAAGTTAGTGATTTTTTAAAAATATTTTTTATTGATTTTTTTTTAGAGAGAGAGGAAGGAAGAGATAGAAACATCAATGTGAAAGATAGACATCAATTGCTGCCTTCTGCATGCCCCTTACTGGGGATCAAGCCCAAAACCTGGGCATGTGCCCTGACTGGGAATCAAACCAGGACCTCTCAGTCCATGGGACAGTGCTCAATCCACTGAGCCACCTTGGCTGGGCAAAGTTAGTGATATTTATCCAAGATCTCACTATATTATTTTCTCTACTTTTGTGTAAGTTTAATTATTTCTATAATAAAACACTTTTTAGCCCTGGCCGGTTTGGCTCAGCGGTTAGAGTTGTCGGCCTGCGGTCCTGAGAGACCCGGGTTCGGTTCCCGCTAAGGGCGCGTACTTCAGTTGCAGTTTGTCCCCGGCCCTGGTCGGTTGTACGGGTGGCAGCCACTCGATGTGTTCCTTTCACATCGATGTTTCTCTCTCTCTCTCTGTTCCTCTCTCCCTCCCACTCTACCTGAACAAAAGATGGGGGAAAAAATGTCCTCGGGTGAGGATAAAAAATAAAAAAATAAAAATAAAACACTTTTTAAAGACCAGATTGGATTAAATCAATGAATTTTAACTTTTTTTTTTAAGCAACAGAACCCTTTCTCCAACCAAAATCTTGTGGAAAGGCTGATATGTAAATGAAATAAAAGTAGATCTACTCTGATTTAAGAGAAGCCAGACACCCTTCTATTGGTCCCTTCTTGCACTCAGCCCCTCCCAAGGCACAGGGTTCAGAGAACACAGTTTAATGAAAATCACTGGATCAGATTAAATTTAAGGATTCTTCTGGCACTTTTGCCTTCCTCTAGTTATATTGGTTCTGCACTGGCCATTAGTCTATATATCCTGTTCCAGAAACAGTAAGACAGGGCTATTAATCATTTCTGTAGTCAGTGGAGAATTTGAAGTGTTGCAGAAACAAGGGTTACTATTAGAGATGAATTTCAATGTCTGTCTCTGCTGAGTGTTTATTAATAATCTTGCTAATCCCCACTCTAGTTCCTGGATCTAACTCCTGTCAGATGTCCTTAGGGGCATTTTAAATTCTCCCTGATTTCTTGGAGCCAGATACTTCCTTCTGCCTATATTCCTCTCTGATACTTACATTCATGAGTATTCACATTTAATCTCCCTGATTACATTTCCATGTGATGATCATAGTGTATTGGCTGCATTTCTCAGAAAACACATACAAGAAGCCCATAGTAAGGGCTTGAGTTTGCAGGCACGGTGCCAGAGATCTTTGTTCTTGCCACTAAGATGGCCTTCTATTGTGGACAGTGACAGAGAGATGCTGAATGGTGAGGAGGAGCCTGACCAAGGGGGCATTCTGACTCCTCTTGGTCTAGGGCTTTGCACCCTGGCTCATGACCCAAAGGGACTGACAGTTTCACTCAGGGATCAAATGTCACCAGGACCTTCCCGGTAGCCATGAGGATGACATGTGGGTCCCTGTGACCAGAGTTGCCCAACAGCTTCCCAGCCCTGAGTCAGGCCCCATCCTTCCTGCACAGTCTCCCTACAATATTATCATTGTTGCCAAGTACCTCCAGCCTGAGAGAAGAAACTGGTAACTCATCTGTACTGAGGAGGGAAAAGTTATCCCCAAATGCCTGAGGGCTTGTGTTTAAAAGTCAGTTCAGGGAAAGGACAGTGAGGCTTAACACTCTCATGGGATGGACGGGGTAGAGGGTAATAGAAAATATGCACTCTTGGAAGGCTAGACTGTAGGAGATATCAGGGTTCCCCAAAGAGAGAAAGGATGGCTGAGGTCAGGACCCTGAAGAAGAAGAAACAAAGAGCTGTGGGATGAGATAGAAATGAATGTCCCAAAAGCCAGTGAAGGAAATCATTTTCAAATGGATGTGGTATGTGTGACATGTGACAAATGCTACAGAAAAGGTAATGTGACTAAGGAAGTTGGAAATGTCCCACAGGTACCTTTATGGGATTTACCCTTTGAGAAGCCCCCCTCAGTCTGCTTTGGGATTGACCCCTCCCTGTGGCCTAGGGGAAAAGTTAGAGCCCAGCTGTCAGGTCTCCATGTCTCCTACAGGTAGCACCTGCAAGGCAATTTTGGCTGCAGAGAGGCATGTAAGGGTCGCTAGAGGCCTGCTTCTCCAAGGATTCAGGGAACAGGTGTTGTCAGTAAGGAGGAGCTGAGCCAGGGAAGCAGAGGATGAAGGATTGGAAAGATATGTGGCATGGGAAGTTACCTGAGATGCAGCCACTGCAGCACCCAAACTTCTGAGCAGAGCCTCCTGCCCTGTCTGCCTCAACTACAGCTAAGGGTTGGGGGTCAGAACAGAGGACAGAAGCCCAGGTTCTGCCCTCCGAAACTTGAAAGCCACTGTAACAACACAGCCCACCCAGAGCCTTGCACTCTGGATGGCCTGAAGGAACACAGATAAAGTCAGGATTCCCTCCCAGACAGTCTAGACTTTTCCCTTTCCCCTTAGTGACAAGCATGTTTTCATTTCTACTGCCTCATTCTAAACTTTAGAATCAGAAGCCACCGTAATGGTTATATTTCCTTCCCTTGCTGAGTCACCAACAGCCACTCGAATCTCTGGGTCTGAAGCATTCTTCCTGCCTGTCTGCCTGCTCCCTGTAACCCCAGAGGCAGAACAGGCACAGCTTTGGATCCACTCTGCAGTCCTTAGACTCTGTAGGCAGACACCTTGGATGGCAGCACTTATATCAGTGGGCCATCAGTTTTTCATGGAGAAGGTGAATGACTCCAGCCCCTTCCAACTGACTTAGGCAGGGTGGGCCAGGGCCCTGGATATTGTAGCAGTAGTTTGTGGCGTTTTAGAGGGATGAGTGAGGTTAGATTAATGAGTAAGCAGCACAGGACTAACTGGCCACCAGCTGATTTATCATTATTTGGCTTCTCACCTACCATACCCAGCCAACCTTTCAGGTTTTCCCAGAAGACAACTTTAGGACTAATCTGTGAAATAGAGAAGTCCTCATAAGAACTCTTTTTTTGTCCAGTGGCTGCAGCCATGAAGTATGGCCTGGGTTGGCCAGTCAGTTCTCTGGATCCTATGAAGGGACCTATCCAGTGCTCGGGGAAGTGGAGGGAGAAGGTCTGTTTTAGGGAGCACCTACTCTGACCTTAATGCAGACTTAAACTCACAGGAACCTAGAAAGACCTTTCCAAACAAGTACACAGGAAGGGCCCCGAGGAGCAGGCAACTAGTATGGGAGGTTGAAGAGGAAATCCTATGAGTTTAAAGAATTGCAGGAAGCTGGATTACACAGGTAAGTATAAGTGAGGCCAAGATCCTTGGCTCTTCTACCCAGTTCAGGGTTCTTTCAAGGTGGATGGGTCTGCCTCTCCCTACCTGAATTTCCTGCCTGTTGCCAGGGGCAAATGCCCTCAGAGGCCCAGGGGACAGGTGGTAAGGCCAGCTTCAGGGCTGAGAACAGCCCCATGTGTTCACTTCCATACAACTCCCTGACTCTGATTTCTCCCTGCCAGGACCCAGCCGCCGCCTCCATCTCAGACGGAGACTGTGATGCCCGGGAGGGTGAGTCAGTAGCCATGAATTACAAACCATCCCCGCTCCAAGCGAAGCTGGGTGAGTGGGTCTGGGGGGTGAGAGAGATGTGGGGAGTGAACAAGGTGCTCTAGGCCGGGTCTGCAATAAGGTGCTACAAATAAACCAACTCAGGCTAAATGATTTCAAAACTCAAGCCACCAAGTCGTTGGCACTGCCTGGTATCTTATTTCCTGCAAGGTAAAGAGGGAAGTTACAGTTTTCTGCAGGACCCAAAACTCTAGGAGGGATCTCTGAGGCCAAGATGGCTCCAGTTATTCCAGGGAATAGCTGCAGCAATAAAAGCATGGAACCCCAGAGAGAGGGTTGGAAGTCCCATTTGATACTGAGCTAGGCTGAGAAGAAGCTGCTGTAGAGATGGGTGTCGGTTGCTATGTCTGAGGGGCAGAAAGGAATGAGGATTCCAAAGCCTAGGAGCTGAGACTCTCTCCCCATTCCTTCCTCTGTCCGTCTGGAGATCTCAGGGCCTGTTGGTTCCTGTTTTGGCAAGTTTTTCTTAGTTTTTCTTAGTAAACTCAAATATCTCTCCCACTTTCCAGGGTCACTTTTCCCTTGGGGTTTTTCTCATGTCCACTCTTATGTCAGTTTACACTACAGCCCACTCTTTGGAGCCACTTGGCTCCTAGCCACAGCCTATAGCCCCTGCACCTACTGATCTCTCTTCACCCTAGACTGAACACTGCCCTTCTCCCTTTAGGGACCAAAGTTTTGCTCACCCAAGCCTGCTTCATATAATAGACTTTTACTAAAAATTTGGGTTTCATGAAGAGAAATTACAAGACGGTACATCCAGAAAAGAGTTTTCAATTAAATACAGGTCATCATTATCCTTCAACTCCTCTTCTACCCCTTTCTTCTCAGGCTTCAGCTGCCCACCAGATAGTGACCCCTTCAGCAGTCCTAAGAGTGCTTACCCATCTATTCTTTTTTTTTTTTAATCTTCACCAGAGGACATTAGTCTATTTACCTTCAGATAGAATGTGAGGGAGGGAGAGAGAGAGAGAAACATCGATGTGAGAGAGACACATCAACTGGTTGCCTCCCACATGATCCCAACCAGGGTCAGGGATGAATAGCAACAGAGGTACCTGCCCTTGATCAGAATCCAACCCGTGACTCATCGGTCCATGGACTGACACTCTAACCACTGAGCCAAACCAGCCAGGGCTACCCATCTATTCTAAAACCTTCTCCCACTACAGCTCCTAGGACTCCTTTTCACAGTTTTGTTTGTTTGTTTTACCTTGCTTTTTTTCCTTTCAGACCACATTAGGGAACCCCTCAGGCTATTTTTCTAAACAAGAGAGCAGTTCTCTAAGTGGAATTTGTTCCTCTCCCAAAAACACTAGACTCAAAGTGCAGCCAGTTTTATGTACTATTGTTTTTGTTTGTTTGTTTTTGTTGTTTTTAATCCTCACTTGAGGATATTTCTACATTTTATCTTCAGATAGAGTGGGGGAGAGAGAGAGAAAGAGAAGGAGAAACATTGATGTGAGAGAGACACATTCATTGGTTGCCACCCGCAGGACCCCCAACTGGGGCTGGGGACGAACTGCAACCAAGGTATGTGCCCTTAGCCAGAATTAAACCCGGGACTCCTTGGTCCACAGGCTGACGCTCTAACCACTGAGCAAAACTGGCCAGGGCTTATGTACTATTGTTTAATTTAATAATACAAGTGTCTTAACAAGTATAACTTCTTTTATTCTCCCCAAGATAATCATTCCAAGCTTTAAAAAATATTTTATTTTGTATTTTAACAGAAGTGGTATCATACTGTACACATTTTCTGAAACTATTTTTATTTTTTTTTCTTTATTGATTTTAGAGAGAGAAGAAGGAAGAGAAAGAGATAGAAACACTGATGAGGGAGAACATGGACTAGCCGCCTTCTGCAGGCCCCCCCACTGGGGATTGGGCCCACAACCTGGGCATGTGCCCTGACCAGGAATCAAACCGGCAACCTCTTGGTGCATGGGTCGACGCTCAACTACTGAGCTACACTGGCCGGGCTTAAATATGTTTTTATCAATGTTTTAAAGAGAGAGAGAAAGAGAAACATTGATATGAAAGATACATTGATCCACTGCCCCCTGCACAACCCCTACTGGGGATCAAGCCCACAACCTGGGCATGTGCTCTGACCAGGACCTCTTAGTCCATGGGGCGATGCTTAATCCACTGAGCAATGCCGACCGGGCTTCTGAAACTTTATTTGTTTTTGTTTTTGTTTTTCACTTAATGTCTTGGAGCCCCTTCCACTGTTGGTATATAGAGAATGATTTCATTCTTTTAAGTGGTTGCATAGTAGACTGTAGTTTGATTTTGCCAGTTTACTATTTGCATTTTTTTTACTTTTAAACAATCCAAACATGCTTTTAAAATAACACTTTCCCTCCCTTTCCATTACATTACCATCAAAGCTCCTCATTAAAATTTACTACCTTGTCCCAGTAGTACTAAGGGAAAAAAAATCACCACCTCCAGGAATTTTAAGGCAAATTGCACCCCCTTGAGGTTTGGAGTGGTAATAGTAGCTACTGCCTGCTGAAAAGAAGCTGAGCAAAAACTGAAGGAGTCTGATGAGCTGTGGCAAAGAAAGAGGGTCAGCCATCTGGAGATGAGACAGTCAGTGACATGGCAGCAGGGGAAATTCCAGAGTCACCATAGCTGGAAATGCCCAACCATCCTTCCTCTTCAGAGCCTGTGGTTATTTTCTGAGAGCTTTCCCCTAGCGTCCCTCTCTACCCAACAGTCACTTTTTCTACACCTGAGTTTTACTTGAGATGAGTAGGAAAGGGTAGACAAGCCTCTTCCAGGGCCCAGACAGATTCCTGGCTACTGGTAACAGTGTCACACACCAGACAGTAGGTCACCTGGTGGCCAACCCTATGATTCTGGTAAGCTCTGGAGCCTCAGAGAACTCAGAGGCTGGCAGAGGAGTCAGAAGTATAGCCAGAGGCACTCCTCCAGCGTCTTGCACCTTAATCTGCAGGCCCCATTCTGCCCTTCCCACTCCACAACCTTTGATGGCTCCTTTTCCTTCCTCATTAATCTCAAACCCCTCTATCTGGCATTCAAGATCATGCCCAAGTTTGTAATCAGAGGGAGCCCCCAACCCCTTAGCACAGGACCTGGGATTGGTGACACAGATGTTAATACATAAATGACTGAATAAATGTATTCTCCTTTTCAACCTGTCCTCCCTTCATCCCATCCAGATCTACACATACTATGCTCACTTCTAAATGCATTTTTGTATACACTATCCCGCCTTCCTAGAATTCCCTGCACTTTCCAGCTCAAGATATCATCAGTAGGGAGCCCCAACTGCTCCATCTCTCCCTCTGTAGCCATTCTCAGGTATCAAGCACACACTAACTGCTCCATATGGGAGTACAGCTTCTGGAAGACAGGGGTCAGCTTCCTCCTTTTGTCCCTCACTATCTGTCTCAGGTTGTACAGGGCCAAGTACTGTCTCCACCGAGCAGTAGGGCCTGGAGTTAGGATCCCTGCCACAGTTCCTGGAGAAGCAAAGGGTTTCCCAATGGAGGCCCAGACTAGGCTGCCCCAAGCAATTAGGTAGGGTGACCCTGGGGGCAGGACACAGCTTCCTTCCCATGTTTCCCTGCAGAGAAGCAACGGGAACTGGCCCGGAAGGGCTCCCTGAAGAATGGCAGTATGGGTAGCCCTGTCATCCAGCAACCCAAGAAGAACAATGTCATGGCTCGGACAAGGTAGAGGCCCCACACCTCCCCACCTGGGCCCTGCCAGTCAGCATCTATCTCTGTTGGTCCTGAGCCTTCCCCTCTTCCCTCCTTCTTCAGGCCTAGCTCCTCTTGAGAGGAGAGAATTTCAACAAGATCCAAGGCAGGGGGTTGGGGGAGGAAAGGGAAGTGGGGCCCAACCCAGTTCCTTGCCAGGCTTATGTGCTACAGTTGCCAATCCAATACCCCAAATTCTTCACCCAGGCTGGTCGTTCCCAATAAAGGCTATTCTTCGCTTGACCAGAGCCCAGACGAGAAGCCACTGGTAGCCCTTGACACTGACAGGTGTGTATGGGGATGTTGGGGCAGCTGGGCAAGCCACAGGAACCTGTGTGAACATACAAATGAACTGTACAGGTCACACCTGTTACATTGTTAGTATTGGGATATTCCTTGGACAGCCAGGAGCTCTCCAAGGGTGAAGCCCCAAGGAATGGAATTTTTTACCTGGAGGTGGGGAAGAGCAGAGAGAGGAAAACGGGACTGGTGAAGTCTGCTGCTATTCTGGGGCAACTGATCCAATGACTGCCCTGAGAATGGGCCCTGATTCAATGCTTAATGCCCTCCCCCTTCAAGGGAGCAGTCCTATTGCTGGGAACACATCTGGTTAGACCTGGACTTTGGGGAAACCCAACAAGCCAAGGTGATTTGAGCCTAGATAAAAAGGGGGAGTGTTGAGGGGAAAGGAATAGCATCTTTAACTCAGAAGGAGGTTAAGGGTGGCCATTTATTTAGAATGGTGGGGCTAGGGAACCGGTTTTAAAACTGCATTTGTACAGCAAGCACTGTTTGCATTTAGATCATGCTGTTTATTTGGAAGTGTAAGAGAAGGGTGGAGTATTGATTGATCAGGGTGGGGGGGGGGGGGTGTAGGGAATTTTCTATTTAATTTCCAGGAATCACTTCCCCTCTGTCTTCTTTCCTCCATGGCCAGCGATGATGACTTTGACATGTCCAGATATTCCTCCTCTGGCTACTCCTCTGCTGAGGTGAGGCCCCACCCTAGACACACTCCTCCGAGAAGGCATGGAGCCAAATGCCAAGTCACACCTGAGGGGAGTTGTGGGCAAAGCTAGGCAGAGCCCCTGTGGGGGCGGGGTCTAAATAGGACCAGGCCTGGAATGGGATGAGTCTGAAAAAAGGTGAGGCAGTTACACCTTGGCCTCAAGTTAGTGGATCCCGGGATTAGGGGAGGGACTTAAGTCCAGCATTGGCACTTAAGTAAAATGCAGTGTGAAAAATAGGTGACGACTTTTAGCGGTGGGCCTGAAATAAGGTCCGGGCCCTTGTAGAAGCAGGACCTGAGGTGGTAAGTTGTCCTTAGAATGGGGTGAGGTCTTTCATGGGCGGAGCCTCACAAGGAAGTGCCAATAAAGAAAGTGAGGCCAGAACTGAATTCAGGGCGAAGTCAGGGCTTTTAGAGAGACCCTGGGAGCCGAAGGCCTGGAGAGACCTTCAGGCTGTGGGTGGTACCTCAAGATCTCCCGAGCCTGACCTCCCTCCCCTTTGTCTACAGCAGATCAACCAAGATTTGAACATCCAGCTGCTGAAGGATGGCTACCGGTTAGACGAGATCCCAGATGATGAGGACCTGGACCTCATTCCCCCCAAATCCGTGAACCCTACCTGCATGTGCTGCCAGGCCACGTCCTCCACTGCCTGCCACATTCAGTAGCGGGTGGGGCCCCGCAGCCAATGGAGCTGGGCCACTGCGGGCCAGGTTAGACTGGGCAGGGGCTGACCCCTCCCCAGTTCTTCTGCCTGCCTCCTGGCCCTGCGTCCCCTACAGCCGCCAACCTCGTAAAAGTCATTGCTTCCTCCTATGGTAGGACGTGTACCTCCGTGTGTTCATGGAGCCGGAGAAACCAAAACCGGGTCTCTCTCCACCCCAGGGGCTGAGGAGGGGAAGGGGCTGTTTGTTCAGTTACTTGGGGGGACTTTGCTCAGCACCTTGTCTCTCTCCCAAAAGGTGTAATCCAGTGGGGGAGTGGGGAACTGGACAGCAGAGAAGCCAACAGTAATGTGTGGGGAGGAGGAATCGCAAAGCCAGGGGCTTGGCCCCACCCCAGCGAAGCCATGAACCCTCAGCCCAATAAGGAAAGGGGCTCTGAGGGAGAAAGGCCCCCGGGCAGTGGGGGCAGGGCCCAGCACTTTGGAGCCCCTTTGGCATCTCCTGCCTGCCCATGTACCTATTTGCATTTCCCCCCTCACCTCCAGATGGGAAGCCTGGCAAAGTTGCCCACTGGGATATTGTCCCCCACCTATCAGATCACTGCCTTCTTCCTCCTCTTTGCCCCATTCACCCCTCCTTCCTTGTTCTCTGAGTTGAGGGTAAGGTGGGCCTTAGAGACAGGCCAGCATTTGGGATGGTTGGGATGGTATTATCTGTCCTCACCTGCCCCTAAACAATGTATCTCTCTGCCAACTGCTCCCCACCACACACACACAGAGAGAGAGAGAGAGAGAGAGAGAGAGAGAGAGAGAGAGAGAGAGAGAGAGATGCTTCAATTCATTGGTCTCTGTCCCGGGCTGGAAGCAGGCTGGCCTCGAATGCCCCGTTCCCATGTTACTCCAGCCCTAGATTTCAGATCCTGCTTCCCAATAAGAATCTCCAAGGAAGCAAGCTGAGGAGAGTACTGTGGCTGCATATGTATGCTAGGGAGAGCTTGGCAGAATGTGTGTGTGCCTGAGTCTGTCAGGGTGTGTGTCTGTCTCTGCAGTGGGCCTGTCTTTCTAGATGTCTGTTTCTGTCATAGATGGTGAGGAAGTGACTGTGTGGTCTGTTACCAGTGTGAGAGGCTGTTCAGCAGTGCAGTGAATTGACAGCCCTGGACTGGGGGTCAGAAGCCTGGGTTCTAGACCTAGCTCTGGCATTGTCCCTGTGGTCTTTAACAAGCCAGTTGCATTCCCTAGGCTTCAACTGTAAAATGAGTAGCATCTGAAATTATTTTTAAGGTTTTGGAGGAATTTTTTCATAAGAATTTCTGTGGAGGTGTATAGGGAGGACTCTGTGTCTTTGAGTACACCTGGGAGGCTTCCGGAGTTGTATATCTGTGTGAAAAGGAGAAAAGGAAGTTTCTATGGGACCTGTGTATGTCTGAGTGCATGTGGATCTATTTGGGAATACATGTTTGTGTGTCTATGAATGTGTATGTATGTGTGAGTATATTTTGTGTCTGTGGGTATATATTGTGTATGTAGCCATATGGGGTGTCTGTGAGTCAGAAAGTGTGTACTGCTGCTTCTGCTGCTGTTGCTGGGGTGGAGAAGATGCCAGAAAAGCTAATGATGAAAGTCAAAAGGGAGGAGGTGATCAAGGCCCTCCCCTGGGACTGAGCAATATAGACCTGCTCCCATGTGAAGAAAAATGAAAGCACAGTTAGTCTAAGACTGCTCAGGTCTATGCTCCACAAACCCCATATCCCAGGGCCAGGGTATATATCCCGCATTCTTCCATACTGCCACTTCACAGCCCATTCCCTGGATGTCATTTCTGGGAGGTGGGAGCTGGAAGGGGGAGAGGGTAATGGGGAGAGTAAGGCTGCTAGCTTAGGAAGGGTAGCAGCTCTCCCTACACCATACCCAGGGGCTGCCAAAGTGCTGAGGTGCAGCTCTACACTCTCAATTCCTCCAACCCACCCCTACCTCCTTTAGTACAGGGACCCTGGTTAGATGTTGAGAAAATGCCAAAGGGAGACAAGGACAGAGACAGTACCTGCAGGGCCCACAAGGCCTATACCAGCCCCCATCTGTGCCCATCTCTCCCACCATGGTCAGATCCCTACACCCTGTCATCTGGGCCCCAGAGCCAATCGTCCTACTACTATCACCACCACCCTGGGCTCCTTGACTTGCCCTTTGAGAACATAGGTACCTCCTCTTTTCCAGGCAGGGCCCCCATCAGGGCTGATTTAGACTGCTACCTTTGCTGCTGACTTGCTGTGTGACTATGGCCCACTGCTGAACCCTCTGGTCCTGAGGAACCAGGGAGAAGCTCCCTCCCCACAGGATATACCTAGTTCCCTGGCAAGCAAGGGCTTGACTGAGGTAGTGTACAAATGATAGAGGGAGGTAGGAAGCTGACAGCCAGCACTTTCTGGATCTAGAGAGTGTGTGGTTCCCTCCTTCCCTGTCTGGGAGGATGGAGAGGAGGAATTGAGGCCTTAGCTTGCCCCCTGCCACCCTCCCCCCTTGTAGATACTGCCTTAACACTCCCTCTACCCTCAGCTCTGGCTGCCACCCAGCCAGGTTTCTCCGTGCTTACTAATTTATTTCCAGGAAGGTGTGTGGAAGACATGAGCCGTGTATAATATTTTTTTTAACATTTCCATTGCAGTATTGACCATCATCCTTGATTGTGTATTGTGTAACACAAATAACGATATTAAAAGCATCAAACAAGCCAGCCTCAGCTCCCTACCTGGGGTATGGGCAAGGGGAAGGTGGGCTGGGAAGGGGAGAAAACTGATCCTCTGAATGCACATTTCACTCTACCTCCACTCATGGGTTCCCAGGCCAGGCCTGCCACTGACCTGCTGCAAGACCCTGGTGAATACTTGACCCCTTGGAACCTCCATTTCTCTTCATCAGAGTAAGAAGCTTGGCCTAGAAGATCTTCAGGGACCCTCTGAGGGAGGCAGAGGCTGGGAGTAGGAAGAGAATTAGACCTCCTCAGTTCCCCAGGGCTGGGACTAAGCCAGGTGATATCATAATGGGCAGTGCCCATCCTGGAGGGGGAAACAGGGTGGGGTAGGAACAGGAAGGCTGTGGGAGAGGAAGGTTGAGAGATCCTCCATAGAAGGGGTCACACCAGCTAAGAGCACCTGCTGGGTTGGAGGTGTGGGTGACCTAGGAGAGGGGGTGATCACTGACGGTTTGCAAGATCCGGTGGTAGGTAGAGCCCACCACAGCATTCCCTAGACCCTACTATGTTCCTCTTCTCTCGAAAGACCAAGACCCCCATCAGCACCTACAGTGACTCCTACAGGGCTCCTACCTCTATCAAAAAGGTCTATAAGGACCCACCTCTGTGTGCCTGGGAAGCCAACAAGTTTGTGACCCCGGTAAGTAGAGGTTGGGGGTAGGGGCAGGGGTAGACCAGTGTGTATGGCCATGCATGTCTGGATGACTAGCAGTGAGTGGTTTTCATTATGTTTGTTATTGTTTGTAGCTTTGCACATGTGTTTTTTATCCTTTTGCCTAGGTGTGGAATTTATAATGATATATATAAGAGAACAAGATCCTGCCTTAATGGTGCCCTACCACACCATGGTAGGAGGTGTAAAGAGTTAGATAATAATCAAGAAATAAATAAGACTTTTATAAATTATCCAAAATGCTATAAAGGAAATAAACAGGGTAATGGAAATGGAAAGTAATGAGAGAGAAAACTACTTAAATAGAGAGATCATAGAAGACCTAGATGAAAGCCATGTGAAGTGATGAAAGAATAAGGTTTCAGTGCAAAGGTCCTGAGGCTTCCTGTAGGATATGCCAGAAAATGTTCAATAAGCATGTTTTTATACATGTGTATCACAGTCTCCTTGTATCTGTCTGTGCAGCTTGCACAAAATGGAGAGATCTGTGAATCTAATTGTGACTGCCTAAGGAAATTTATTTGCGCACACCATCCAACAAACTTTGTTGAGGATCTACACGTGCCAGGCACAACTTAGATATAACAATGAAGGGCCAGGCACTGCCTTTCAGGAGCTTTCAGCCAAGAAGTGAACAAAGTCCTGTGTAGAACATGCACCAGCAAAGGCATGGGCACTAGTACAAGAGCTGGAAAGGGGAGAGCATTCCCAGGACTTTAGGGCAGGTCTACTAAGAGATCCAGGGGGAGGAGGCTTCCTTCCAGCAGAAGAATCATAAAAAAGGGCAGCCTGGAGGCTAGGACCCACCAGGAACTGAGAACTGCTGGAGCAGAGTGAGAGGTTAGCCATATGGTAAGAGGAACCTGCAGACCACAAAGGGCCTCAGGCTGTGTTGAGAAACTGAAGACATAATGCTCCAAGTTTTTAAATCTATGAGTGTCATGATTAGATTGTGAGTTATGCCACTCTGGCTACAGTGGCAGGAGATTGAAGGGGCTGGGGCTGAGGACAGAAAGCTGAGTGAGATGGTAGAGGATGAAGGAGGAGGATGTATGTGGGAGATAAGAATAGACAATAGTGCCCTGGCCCATTTGGCTCCGCGGTTAGAGCGTCAGCCTGCGGAACAGAGAGACCTGGGTTCAGTTCCCGCTAAGGGCACATACCTCAGTTGCAGTTTGTCCCCGGTCCTGGTTGTGTCGTGCGGGTGGCAACCACTCGATGTGTCCCTTTCACATCGATGTTTCTCTCTTTCTTCCTCCCACTCTGTCTGAACAAAAAATGGGAAAAAATGTCCTGGGGTGAGGATAAAAAAATAAATAAATAAAAATAATAGACAGTAGCCCTGGCCGGTTTGGCTCAGCAGTTAGAGCGTCGGCCCACGGACCAGAGAGTCCCAGGTTCAGTTCCCGCTAAGGGCACGTACCTTGGTTGCAGTTTGTCCCAGGCCCCTGTTAGGGTCGTGTGGCTGGCAACCTATCGATATTTCTCTCTCTCTCTTCGGCTCTCCCTCCTGCTTTATCTGAAGATAAATGCGAAAATGTCCTCCAGTGAGGATAAAAAAAAGAATAGACTGTAGTAGTAAAAAAAGGGAATTTATTGGATAAAAGAGAATTTCTATTTTTATTTTTTAATTTTATTTTTAAATATTTTATTTTTAAATTATAGTTAATATATCCTCCATCTTGACTGGAAGTCCCAATTATAGGCGAGAATTTTAAATATATATGTATATATATATATACACATATATATATGTGTATGTTGTGTATATATATATATGTTGTATATATCAAATGTTCCTTAAGGATAAATTCTTAGACATGAAATTGTTAGGAGAAAGGACATGAACATTTGAAAAACTTTTGATATACATTTCAAATTGCTGTAATAAGGTTTGTAATAATTTACATGCCCCCCAGCAAAATATGAGAGTGCCTGCCTGCTTTTCCAGACTCCATAGAAGAAATTTTTTTAAAAATAGATCAACATATCTTGGTCACTATCAGGATATAAAGAAGAGAGGAGAGATTAGGATGATTCCTAGGTTTTGGGTTCTGGCAGTTGGAGGGATGATAGTGCTACAAACTGAGATTTGGAATCACAGACCATAGAGAAAGATTTGGAGTTCATTTTGGGACAAAAATATTCAAGAATTTTCAGGGAAAGATGTCAGTGGATAGTTATATATACTTAGCGCTGATGCAAAGGAAAGAGGTTTGGGCTACAGATATAGATTTTTAAATCATCAATATATAGGTGGTAGCTGAAGTCATAGCAGTGAATGGAATCACCAAGGAAGAGTAAGAAAAAGGCCAATGACAGAACTATAGAGAATATCAATATTGCCCTGGCCGGTTTGGCTCAGCGGTTAGAGCGCC